GGGGTCTTAGCAGGATTTGATGGGTTGGGAGCTAAGACTTTTTGAGTGCCTTCTATAGAGTCGCTCACCGTATGCCCAGCTTTTACGGCTGTGCAAGAAACCAAAGTCTGCTCTGTACATTGAGTCTGACCGTCATTAATTGGTTCTTCTATGTAAATTGTCACATAATTAATTCATTACAAATTAATATAATTAATATAAAAACATTTTCAAAGCTATACTAAGAAAGTATTTAATCGCACCAGTTAGTCGTTGATTCAAGATATTTAATTCATATATCCTATTTGCAACCTCTCGTAGGTTTTTATGAAGTTTGGAGGCATACCTGGATTCACAAAGCCAAATAACACACCCCAAAGTGAAATTGTAACGATTTTCAGGTAATTGTAATTTTACTCTTTTATTGTTAAATAGCAATGGTTCTGAGCTTAAATTGCAAACGGAAGACAATTTTTTAAGCTTGCCTCAAGACACCACTTTATGAATTATGAGGGTCCACTATTACGCAAACAATTCATGGGGATAGAAAAGATCAAAACTGACGGCCGTGTCATGATTAATCAAAGTTTTGCGACATGAACCCGATTATCAAATAGGTAATGCTAAGCTGCCAAATAAATATTTACAAATTCATAGGATTCATTTGAACCATCTTTGTAGTTTTTTTTTTCTTTACGGTTATTAGTCTAATTATGTACGTACATACGTACGTACTAAACTTTCACATTTAAAGATTCTTAACAATTACGTACAAACTCAAACGTAAATACCAATTCGGATTTTCTATATTTATTTTGTTTATGAAATATAATAATTATTGTCAATAAAGAGATTGTTGCAAAAATGATTAATACAACAGTTATTTCATATAAGAAAACCACTGAATTATTTAAACGTTAATAGATCTTAGGCCTTTGGGTGTATTTTTTGATAATAGATGAATGTCTTATGTTCATCCTTTCCAGTTCCAATTCCTTCATAACCAACATTAAATGTTCCTATATTATGATTCGTATCAGCAGATTTGTGATTATAAAACAATAACTACACTATATATTTCTTGACAATAAATGAATTCCTTATGCTAATCCCTTTCAATTTCAATTCTATGATGATAACAATAGCCGACGTTATATATTCCACCAGCATACTCCGTATAGTAGATTCTTGATAATAAATGAGTGCATTATGTTCGTTATTTTTTATGTTCATTCCTTTTTAACTCCAATCCCACCATGATAGCAACAGCCAATGCATGTTCTATCAAAATTATCTGTGTCTATATTTTTGGATCATAATCTAAAATTTGATATTTAATATGATTGTTTTATTAATCGAGATTGGGCAGAGAAGATAAAAACTCAACCTTACCTAGCATACTCTTGGCACAATTAGAGTTTCCTATTAACACTATAAAAATTAAAATTATGGTAAATAATCTGCACATAATTTGTGAACTAATTTTTTCTTGAACTGCCCAATTTATGATTACCTAACAACCAAGAAGCTTTAATAATTATTTTTATAAATAGAAGGTGATAGACCAATATTAATTTTAAGCAAAAATTTGATCTCTTTTCTTTGTTTCTTCATTGAATTCCGAACCATCTTGCAGATGAGTAAATAGTAAATCTATGTAAACTAGTTTTTTTTTTGCTTTTATCTCTAAAGGTTTGTCTTGAAATACCTGAACAATAGTTTTGAGATTTGATAATGTAAATGCCTTTTCAAATGCACTCTTAGCCCTATCATCGTGAGCCCAAATCTTGAGCTGATCAAGTGCGAAATTAAGATCTTTGGGTAGCATCTCTTTTTTAAATGTGGAAAACTTTACTTTTGGATTATTTTTTTGTCTCGTTTTTCAAATCAGCATTCATTGCCTTAACGTTTTCTTGCAAACTTGATGAACCTTTTTCTGGTATATATTCCTTAAATTGCCACCAAGACTATTGTCTGCTTCACATATAAGTCTTAATCAACCGCATAAATAAATATTTTTCATCCTCTTCTGATAGATGATTAGTATCGTACTGGTACTCATATGATTTTTGCAGAAGAGTGTGAAACTGCTTCTTTAAAGGTTGGTTGTTTGTAAGATTATTGTTAATATAGATCAAAATGTCTGGTTCATACTCAGTATGTTTTTCAAACAGTTGAAGAACAAGCGACTCTAAATAATATATAAATTGAACAAAATCGACCCCAGGGATAATTGTTGTTTTTTTTAAACGAGTGTTATATTCATATTTCACATACTCAGTGCTTAGGGCATTCAAGCATGATCTCATTTTCATGAAGTTTTCATGTACCATTGTTTGTGAGTCACTTAGAGTTAACTTGTAGATAACCCAACCAATGATGTAGAGAAATTTTGAAGCCTTGGCTGACTCTAAGGTAATGATTTTTCTAGGTATAGTTCACGATTCTGTTTGATTTGCGATAAGCTAGTCGGGATGTTGACTACTTTGTGATTGTTTAAATGTAATTTTGATTGTTTTTTCTAGCAAAATATAAGCTACCAATCATTGAACTTCTATATTAATATTGGTTGGGACTAACAATTGGAAATTATTGAACCAGCCTGCACATTTGTAATTATTTAAACTGTTTTCCAAATTTGTTGACCATAGCTATCCATTGCGTACTTTTCTTTGCCGGAACGGAGTTTAATGCCATTTGACGAATTTTTTTTGACCAGGATACTAAAAGATCGTCAACACTATCGTGATATAGCAAGTATTCAATTAATCGTACTCTTTCAAGTTGCAAATTATTTATATTTATATTTTCTATTCTAATATTTTCATTTTTTAAGGATAGCGGCAGCTTTAACCGTCCCATTATCAAGTCATCATCGATAATTTCCTTAAATATTTGATGGCTCACAGTAGAAAGTACTTCAATTCGAGGTTTGTAGTAAATATATTCTTTACGGTCCTGGTTTTCAGATTGTAACGCTGTACAGTAGTCCGTGTAAAAATAAACTTTAAATCAATGTGTTTTATTTATAAAATTGATATGCAGTTTACCTTTGTTTCAAATTAGTAAGCGCACAGCTCGAGCTATTAGCTGAACCATAATTTAGGCTTCGTATTTCCGATATCATTTGTGTTGTGACTGTAAATTTATTCATTGCATATCCATAGGATTGAACTGTTTGCGTAGAGGAATTACCACTCATCTCCCTTATTGTTCCAAACAAACCCTCAAGCATGTCTTGAGAAATCCTTCTTGGCTGAATAACAGCACCTGGCCAGTTTCTAAATACATATTCTATAATTCCGAGAAATCCATTAATTGACAAAATTAAATCAAACTGACACTGAGAGAAAAACTATTGACTTGGATCCTTTTTTTGCTTATTGCCTTGAATCAGGGATGTTAAACCGTTTAACCAGATTGGAAAAATTAAATATAAATCAAATGTATTAAATCACCTTGAACTAGTTTAGTTTATATAGTAAAATTGGAATGGTTTAATATCCCTACCTTGAATAAACCAGTATTTTATCTCTTTTAAAGTATTCAGCTATGGATCTTCAAGAGAAGATATGCATATTCGACTATGCATAATATCTCGATACATCCTTGTGTAAGTAACAAATAACTAAGAAAAAATTTATTAGACCTTAAATAAAATAAAATTACGTGTTGAGACTATTATGTGATTTCTGGTACGTGAAATCACATGATAGTTTTAGAATTGAATTCGATTGATACATCGAATTGTTTAATTTTGCCTAGTGAATGTATAAAATAAGACATTATTTATAACCTGAGTGCCTTGGGAAATGTTCATTAACTCTGGAATTTCTGCTATTGCATTTTTAACATCTTGTGATAATGTATGTTCTGCAAGATCTACTCTCATTTTGCTCCAAGGCATAAGCCATATATGTCATTTTGTTAGCTTGGTAGCTTTTGCTGTTATATGTTTCATGGTATGATCGTATACTCCTTGAAAATGTCTCCAACTAATTTCTCAACCATCATACATTATCTCTCTTACACTTTTCTTTTCACCAGAACCAGTATGGCTTTTTGAAACATTGTTTCTTAATTTTTTAAAAACATGAGTTGGATTATTTAAAAAGAACCATGTTTTACCAGTTACAGAATTTATAGCAAGATGCCATGCCCAATGCTGATTTTCATCGTATGCTGGACGAATATCACTAAATAGTAATCTCCATATAATTTGTTGACCTTTTTCAGTAGGTTTAATTGCAACCTCAATATCTAAATATCCATTTATCAGAACTCCAGTAAGTATTCTACCGGAATACCACTCATTGTCAACTGTATTTCGAACTTCACACAAATCATTGATATTCCAATTAGTTTTTTTGGCATTGGAGGCCATAAAACAGATCGTGCAATGTTATAGCGAGATTGTTCAATGTCAGAAAGCTCAACCAAAAATTTAGTACGCTCTGGATTAAAAGCAATTATCTTAGAAGGTTTGTAGCTTTTTTTTTCCAGTTTATTTAACAGTTGAACTTCTATTTCATCACCTATTTTCCAGGTTGTTGCAAACCAATCAAAACTTTTAACATGTCTCCTGTTTTCACCTGCACCATCACAAATGGATCCACAAGTATGAATTGCTATATATTTGAGCTTGGCGGCTAAAGAAAAAAGAATCGTATTAAGAGTATGAACATCTATTGTCTCAATTGCAAAATAGGCTATTGGGAAGTTAAAAGGATGGGTTATTGAGTGCCATACTATTTGGTGCACCTGAGTTGCTAAGGTACATTCACAATCCTTTTTATCATTATCTTTTTGGCAACCAGAATCATTCTGGATATCACGAAGACATTGCTCACCAAATGCTTCGATTTCTGCATTCTCATTATCAAAATCAACATATCCAACATATCTGTTGTCACGTTGACTCCATAAAAGTCCTACAATAAATAAAAGCCTAGTTTATTGTTTTTTTTTCAAAAAAAATAATAATAATAATAATCATTGTTGTAGTGATACTGAAAATTGGGTCTCGATTTGAAAATATAAGCCCTACAAAATCCAGATATACTCTTTTATTAACAACACTAACCCTAAATCCTAACCTAACGATAAAAAAAAGCTACAAAAAAGATCCCAAAAAATTTTAAATTTTCATATCGAAATAGGTTCAATTTTCGTATCAGCCACGACAATAATTGAATATCTAGCTATTCTAACCTTTTTGTATTTTAAATGAATCGTGAGAGAAAAAGCCTAATTTTGTATATCCTCACATGTTGTTTGCCTCCATATTTGCTATCATTTGCTCTGCCACCTTGTCTTGCCAACCTGTATGCTAATTAGTTTCATTAATATAACTTTTGAGTATTGATAATGATGGCATCCGAATAATGGATTTCATTGCTTTGTAGACAGCAGGGCCTCTGCTATAAATTGATATTGCCCATCGAATAAACCTGCAAAATATATTTAGTAAATTTAAGTAAAATTTTATTGATACCACGATTTATTCCTACTTACATAGGGTGGTATCATACTCCTTTCGGTTTTTCACTTTGCACACGAATTAGCTCTTTTAAAATAAGATTTGGTATATCCTCGAATTCTTTATTTTTGACTTTTTCAATCATGCTATGAATGATGTTAGTCATTGGTTCTGATATATGTTCTTCCTCTGCTTCAAATTTTAATTTTAAACGGTTGCTAAGTTCTTTAATCAATTCTTTCTGAGATTTGATTGTCTAAAATAAAAACATTTATTAGTATGTGAGCTTGTTAAAACAACTTAATATAACAAATACTTTTCGCGTATTCTAAACAAGTTCCGTTAGGATTTCTCTGGACGCATGTGATGTTTTAATAGGCTGAACACCGATGGTATGTCGATTTTCAATTTTATACAACGTATTGTATAACGTTTTACAATTTATACATATATTCCCATCTGGCACAAAGAAAGCACAATCAACTCTGCGATAGGTTTTAGTATCAGTTCTTTTATTTTCCAGACTAGCAATAATCTCATGATCATTTTGGGAGCCTAAAGAATTAGGATTACCTCGCAAGCGGGTAGCTTGCTCAAACCCTATACATATTATAAATGATGTTATTAAAAAGTATCAATTCAAAAAATATATATTTTTGAGCTTACCTTTGGTATATTGCCCCATACAAATGAATGATTTTTTACAAAATCGTACGATTGAAATAATATCTGCCATAGTTGAGATTTTGGTGTTAATACAATTATTTTTTGAAAAAATATCTTTGACTTCAGACCTGTTCACAAAAATAGAACATTTTATAGGTTCCCGACAACCATGAGAAGCTTGATTAAAACAAAGTTCTTTTCGAGTATTTTTTCTGTCAGAAAATATAAGTCGTAGAGATTCATCACCCTCCATTAGAGTTATGTTTGTAAATTCTGCATCGTTATGTATCATTGTTGTTAGAGTATCTTTGATAGAGAGTAATGTAATTATCTCAGCACTTTTGAAGTAAGATACATGGTTTTCTCCTTTAATTATTTGACCGACGCTTGTTCCACTAGAGCTAGGATTTAAAAAAATAGTGGCTAGTGAAGATTTTTTGCCCTTAAAAAAACGTTTTTTGCCAAGTGCTTTTATCCAAGCAGAAAAAGATGAAAATCGATTTTGTGTGATCATGTTATAAACATAGACATGCTTTTCCGATTTTTCATACAAAATACGCCCTTCTGCAGATTTATCGAGCGTCAGAAAAAACCACACACTTTGACCATTAAGATCAGGACAAAGTCGATAAAGTTCTTGTAAAGGTTCAGGCTCTTGATATCTTGTACGTTTTAATATTTCCTTTTCAGAACTAAAGTTTCTCTAAAAACCAACGTTAATCAAATTGCATTACTATTAATAAATTTGGCCTTTTTTTACCTTTATTTTTTTCTGTTTCTCCATTTTTTTTTTTTTTTTTTTTTGCAACGCAACTAACTATATTTAAAATAATTTACATGATTCAATTTTTGGAGATAAAGAAAACAGCTACAAAACTTTTATTTAGCTAAATACCGGCTTTTACTTATTATGAAGTTCGTAAAAAAAAAAAAAATGTATCCAAAAAACTTGATTATTCCATAAAATCGTATAATTAAAAATTGAGACTAAACGCAATATGCTAATCTATATATAAGTGAAAACCGGAATTCTAACTTTAAATTTATTACCTTGTCGAATTTAGTCTCTAAAGAGATTCTTTAGAACTAATTCTGGTAAAAATTATAAATTCAAAGTCAGAATTCTGGTTTTTTCTTTGTATCACTTTAGTCAAATACATGTCGTGACAGTTCTGAGATTATGACCAAACTCGTGTAACATTAAGTTGTACCCCCCGTTAATTGACTATCCCCTAGATAATACGATATCCAAAAAAATAAAAAATTTCAACGTTAATTGTTATTATTATTCATATATATATATTTATTATTAATAATTAAATGTCATCATTATTATTAATTTTAATGTCGGCAATAAATTTAAGCTCCGTAATATGTAACTGATCGTGGT